TTCCATCAATACCGAATTTACTGAGAGTTTTTAGCATGAAGAGCTTCTGAATTCCATCAAAGGCCTTTTCTGCATCTATTGAGATAATCATGTGGTTCTTGTCTTTGGTTCTGTTTATATGCTGGATTATGTTTATTGATTTGCGAATGTTGAACCAGCCTTGCATTCCAGGGATGCAGCCCACTTGATCATGGTGGATAAGCTTTTTGATGTGCTGCTGGATCCGGTTTGCCAGAATTTTATTGAGGATTTTTGCATCGATGTTCATCAGTGATATTAGTCTAAAATTCTCTTTTTTTTGTTGTGTCTCTGCCAGGTTTTGGTATGAGGATGGTGTTGGCCCAATAAAATGAGTTAAGGAAGATTCCCTCTTTTTCTATTGATTGGAATAGTTTCAGACAGAATGGTGCCAGCTTCTCCTTGTGTCTCTGGTAGAATTCGGCTGTGAATCCATCTGGTCCTGGACTTTTTTTAGTTGGTAGGCTATTAATTTTTGCCTCAATTTCGGAACCTGCTCTTGGCCTATTCAGGGATTCAGCTTCTTCCTGGTTTAGTCTTGGGAGAGTATAAGTGTCCAGGAAATTATCCATTTCTTCTAGGTTTTCTAGTTTATTTGCGTAGAGGTGTTTATCGTATTCTCTGATGGTTGTTTATATTTCTGTGGGGTCGGTGGTGATATCCCCTTTATCATTTTTTATTGCATCTACCTGATTCTTCTCTCTTTCCTTCTTTAGTAGTCTTACTAGTGGTCTGTCAATTTTGTTGATCTTTTCAAAAAACTGGTCCCTGGATTCATTGATTTTTTGGAGGGTTTTTTTTGTGTCTCTATCTCCTTCAGTTCTGCTCTGATCTTCGTTATTGTCTTCTGCTAGCTTTTTAATGTGTTTGCTCTTGCTTCTCTAGTTCTTTTAATTGTGATGTTAGAGTGTCAATTTTAGATCTTTCCAGCTTTCTCTGGTGGGCATTTAGTGCTATAAATTTCCCTCTACACACTGCTTTAAATGTGTCCCAGAGATTCTGGTATGTTGTATCTTTGTTCTCATTGGTTTCAAAGAACATCTTTATTTCTGCCTTCATTTCCTTATGTACCCAGTATTCATTCAGGAGCAGGTTGTTCAGTTTCCAAGTAGTTGAGCGGTTTTGATTGAGTTTCTTAGTCCTGAGTTGTAGTTTGATTGCACTGTGGTCTGAGAGACAGTTTGTTATAATTTCTGTTCTTGTACATTTGCTGAGGAGTGCTTTACTTTCAACTATGTGGTGAGTTTTGGAATAAGTGCGATGTGGTGCTGAGAAGAATGTATATTCTGTTGATTTGAGGTGGAGAGTTCTGTAGATGTCTATTATGTCCGCTTGGTGCAGAGTTGAGTTCAATTCCTGGATATCCTTGTTACCTTTCTGTCTCGTTGATCTGTCTAATGTTGACAGTGGGGTGTTAAAGTCTCCCATTATTATTGTATGGGTGTCTAAGTCTCTTTGTAAGTGTCTAAGGACTTGCTTTATGAATCTGGGTGCATATATATTTAGGATAGTTAGCTCTTCCTGTTGAATTGATCCGTTTACCATTATGTAATGTCCTTCTTTGTCTCTTTTGATCTTTGATGGTTTAAAGTCTGTTTTATCAGGACTAGGATTGCAACCCCTGCTTTTTTTTGTTTTCCATTTGCTTGGTAGATCTTCCTCCATCCCTTTATTTTGAGCCAATGTGTCTCTGCATGTGAGATGGGTCTCCTGAATACAACAAACTGATGGGTCTTGACTCTTTATCCAGTTTGCCAGTCTGTGTCTTTTAATTGGACCATTTAGTCCATTTACATTTAAGGTTAATATTGTTATGTGTGAACTTGATCCCGTCATTTTGATATTAGCTGATTATTTTGCTCGTTAGTTGATGTAGTTTCTTCCTAGTATTGATGAACTTTACGTTTTGGCATGTTTTTGCAATGGCTGGTACTGGTTGTTCCTTTCCATGTTTAGTGCTTCCTTCAGGGTCTCTTGTAGAGCAGGCCAGGTGGTAACAAAATCTCTAAGCATTTGCTTGTCTGTAAAGGATTTTATTTCTCCTTCACTTATGAAACTTAGTTTGGCTGGATATGAAATTCTGGGTTGAAAATTCTTTTCTTTAAGAATGTTGAATATTGGCCCCCACTCTCTTCTGGCTTGTAGAGTTTCTGCCAAGAGATCTGCTGTTAGTGATGGGCTTCCCTTTGTGGGTGACCCGACCTTTCTCTGTGGCTGCCCTTAACATTTTTTCCTTCATTTCAACTTTGGTGAATCTGGCAATTATGTGTCTTGGAGTTGCTCTTCTCGAGGTGTATCTTTGTGGTGTTCCCTGTATTTCCTGAATTTGAATGTTGTCCTGCCTCACTAGGTTGGGGAAGTTCTCCTGGATGATATCCTGCAGAGTGTTTTCCAACTTGGTTCCATTTTTCCCATCACTTTTCAGGCACACCAATTGGACGTAGATTTGGTCTTTTCACATAATCCCATATTTCTTGGAGGCTTTGTTCATTTCTTTTTACTCTTTTTTCTCTACACTTGTCTTCTTGCTTCATTTCATTCATTCGATCTTCAATCATTGATACTCTTTCTTCCAGTTTGTCGAGTCAGTTACTGAAGCTTGTGCATTTGTGATGTAGTTCTTGTATCATGGTTTTCATTTCTATCAGTTCTTTTAAGGTCTTCTCCACATTGATTATTCTAGTTATCCATTCATCCATTATTTTTTCAACGTTTTTAGTTTCTTTGCACTGGTTACGTAGTTCCTCCTTTAGCTCTGAGAAGTGCGATCGACTGAAGCCTTCTTCTCTCAACTCGTCAAAGTCATTCTCCATCCAGCTTTGTTCCATTGCTGGTGATGAGCTGTGTTCCTTTGGACAGGGAGATGTGCTCTGATTTTTTGAATTTCCAGCTTTTCTGCACTGCTTTTTCCACATCTTTGCGGTTTTATCTGCCTTTGGTCTTTGATGATGGTGACGTACTGATGGGGTTTTGGTGTGGGTGTCCTTTCTGTTTGTTAGTTTTCCTGCTAACAATCTGGACCCTCAGCTGCAGGTCTGTTGGAGTTTGCTTGATGTCCACTCCAGACCCTGTTTGCCTGGCTATCAGCAACGGAGGCTGCAGAAGATAGAATATTGCTGAACAGCGAGTGTTGCTGTCTGATTCTTGCTCTGGAAGCTTCCTCTCAGGGGTGTACCCATCCGTGTGAGGTGTTGGTCTGCACCTAGTGGGGGATGTCTCCCAGTTAGGCTACTCAGGGGTCAGGGACCCACTTGAGTAGGCAGTCTGCTCTCTTCAAAGCTGTCAGACAGGGACATTTACATCTGCAGAGGTTTCTGCTGCTTTTTGTTTACCTATGCCCTGTCCCCAGAGGTGGAGTCTACAGAGGCAGGCAGACCTCCTTGAGCTATGGTGGGCTCCAACCTCTTCGAGCTTCCCGGCAGCTTTGTTTACCTACTTAAGCCTCAGCAATGTCAGGCACCCCTCCCCCAGCCTCGCTGCCGCCTTGCAGTTAGATCTCAGAGTGCTGTCCTAGCAATGAGGGAGGCTCTGTGGGCATGGGACCCTCCCGGCTAGGTGTGGGATATAATCTCCTGGTGTGCCTTTTGCTAAGACCCTTGATCAAGCACACTATTAGGGTGGGAGTTACCTGATTTTCCAGGTGTTGTGTGTCTCAATTTCCTTTGGCTAGGAAAAGGAATTCCCTTCCCCCTTGTGCTTCCCAGGTGAGGTGATGCCTTGCCCTGCTTCAGCTTTCGCTGGTTGGGCTGCACCTGCGGACCAGCACTGACTGTCCAACATGCCCCAGTGAGATGAACCTGGTACCTCAGTTGAAAATGCAGAAATCACCCGTCTTGTGTGTCACTCACGCTGGGAGCTAGAGGCTGGAACTGTTCCTATTCAGCCATCTTGGGCGCCCCCCCTGCATTTTCTAATTTTTAATTATAAACAGGTATTTCTATTTAATAAAAACGTGCAAACTAGTCAATCAATACATTGATATCCTTTGCTTCACTACTTTCACTCTGGAGAGTTTATCCAAAAAAAATTGTTTTGCATAAGTTAGACAAAAACATATGCTTGAAGTAATTCGTAGCGTTAATAATGTTCTAGTTTCATTTAGAAACAGACAATGTTCAGATAGGGAACTAGTGGGATACAATATCATACATGAGCTTTGATTATTATGTGAACACAAAAATTAAATTATCAGAGCGTATAGCAGTGTGAAAAAACATCTATGAGGACCAGGATTTCCAGTAGGTAATTGTCTATGCCAAGGATCATGAAATTTTTCTGTGAAAAGTCAGATAGTACAGTAAATATTTTAGTGTTATTGAGCCATATGGCCTCATTACTACAACTCAATTCTACCTTGAAGAGCACAAACAGCCTTAAATGAATGAATGAAGAGGTGTGAGTAGATTTGGCCTAGGGGCCACAGTTTGCAGACCCTCATCAAAGCACATGGATTGGGTCATTAGAGTAAAGGCAATTGAGGTAGTAGGCAGTGCATTTACTTTAAACGTTTCTTTAATGTTATTTAAGGGTGTATTTAAATGAAATTATGTAATATTCATCTGCTTTACACATAGTTAGTGATTTCCAAGGATTTCCTGTTTTTTTTTTCTTCAGACAGAATCTTACTCTGTTGCCCAGGAGTCCAGTGGCATGTTCTCAGCTCACTGCAGACTCTACTTCCTAGGTTCCAGCGAGTCTTCTGCCTCAGCCTGCCGGTTAGCTGGGACTACAGGCATGCGCCATCACGCCTGATTAATTTTTGTCTTTTCAGTAGAGATGGGGTTTCACCATGTTGGCCAGGCTGCTCTGGAACTCCTGACCTCAAGTGATCTGCCCGCTTCAGCCTCCGAAAGTGCTAGGATTGCAGGAATGAAATATAGTTAAGAATATTTTGCAGATGCCCCCAGTTTTGATTGACTTGATCATTTTCATAGGCCTTTAGTGTACTGGTTTTATTGCAGTTGTGTTCTGTTCTTTCCCAGGAGAAGAAAATGTAATAGCTGTTCCTTTGGGGAGTCGAAGTGTGAGAATTACAGTGAAAGGACCTGCCCACCTCTGTAAGTAGAATTTAATCTTAACATTTTTTAATATCCTGAAAGTTTAGTTAGCCAAAAAACAAAAACAAAACAAAACAAAACAAAAAAAGCCGCAAACCAAACCTACAAGCAAAAGAAACTTTCTCTAAGTTAATGGGTAATGTTACCAAACTTGTGTCCACCTGCTTGGCATAGCAAAGCTAAACACTGACACTAGGATTTGCAGCCACAGACAGTCAGGTATTTATTGCAGAGCACCAAGCAAAGAGAATCAAACAGCTCATGCTTAAGACCTGAACTCCCTGATGTCTTACATGTAAGGATTTTTAAAGACAGGGAGATAGACATTACAGGCAAAGTCACAAATTAATACATGGAGGCTATGTACTGGTTTGACCTGAAAAGGTGGAATATCTTGAAGTGGGGGCTTACAGACCATAGGTAGATTCAAATATTTTCTGATTTGCTATTGGTTAAGAAAGGGAAGTTTTGCCTAAGACTTGGAGTTAGCAGAAAAGAATGTTAGATCTGGCTCTTGGGCGTGATATTCAGGTGCCTCAGGAAGAAATGTAGGACAAAGAAAGGCAGTCAGCGTTCAGCCTCAGTTCCCTCTTAATGGAGGTCTTTGTGCCAGTGGATCCATTTGGTAGGGATCTAGATTTCCTGAAAAACTACTCAGGGACATATGTTAAAATGTTATCATTAGTTTCTGTAGGGAACCATACATCCTGTGACTCCAACATTTTTTGGCTATTGTTGTAATCCACCATTACCTTCCTGCTTGTGAAGTTGCTCATTTACTTCTCAAGGCTAGTTAGGTGCCTGGAATTTCTCTTGAAGAAATTCAAGATTTTCCTTTATTTCCATTCTTGGGGGTGGTAGTACCCTGTTGAATACCCCCAACTATTCTGTAGTGGGTAAAATAGTCTATATAACCAGGGAAATTATCTGTATTGTACCCTGAATTTTTCTGTTCTCATACCCCAATGGAAAATTTACTGTTTAAGATTAATCCCCTCATGGGAAAATAAAAACCAAATTATATGTCAAATAAACTATTTTGTATAGGATGGCTGGGTGCGGTGGCTCACACCTGTAATACCAGCTCTTTGGGAGGCTGTGGCAGGAGGATCACTTGAGTCAGGAGTTTGAGACAAGCCTGGACAGCACAGGAAGACCCCATCTCTGCAAAAAATTTTTAAAAAATTAGCTAGGCATAGTGGTGCATGCCTGTAGTCCAAACTACTCAAGAGACTGAGATAGTCCAAGGAGTAGCCTGGCTACTACAGGCGTGTAGTCTAAGCAACTCCTTGAGCCTAGGAGTTCAAGGTTGCAGTGAGCTCTGATTGCACCACTGCAATCTGCCACTCCAGCCTGAGTGACACAGCAAGACCGTGTCTCTAAAATAATACTAATACATGGAGAGTAAAGTAAGATTTGGGAATGTTCTGGAGATTTCAGCAAAGTGGTACAAAAAAATAAAACAAAACAAAATTTAAAATACAAAACCTTATCAGTGAATATGGCTGATCAGAACAAGCCTTGCTGCTAGCACTTCACAGCTTCCCGTCTGGGGGTTCCTGAAGGCCGACACTGGTTTCCCAGAATACTGTGAGTTTGAAGTAATAAATAGATGATGGTGATGGCTTCACTCTGTGAATACACTGAAACCATTAAATTATGCATTTTAAAAGGGCAAAGTTTATGGCATGCAAATTATATGTGGAAAAGATGTTAAAAAACAAAAAAACGCAGTGAATGGTCTTGATAGTCTCATGATATTAAAGGCCATTCCCCAAAATTCAGCTCCAAATATAGTTTTATAAATTGTAAAAACAGAATAAGGAAACAGTAAACAGAATAAGTAAAGGTGAACACTTTGAGACAAAAATTCGTTTATGTGTGTATGTTCTGGCATATTCAACGTAACTTTATATTCAAGACTGGCACTCTTCCAAGAACAGGGCTCAAAAATGTTCCCATTTCTTCAAGAGTGACTATTGTTGCTTGGACTATTTCCCTCTCTGAACAATCTCACAATTGGCAGTAGAAGTATTTCTGAAAGTTATCCTTCTTTGCTGATGAATAGAACTGGCTTCATTTACTAAGCACTTAGTTAACATTTCTGAATATCTAAATATAGAAGTGGTTTTATTTTCTGGATTTATGGAACTTTTTTCTTAATTTTTATTTGTAAAAGAGATATTTCTGAAATGAAGCTTATTTTGCAGTAATAAGTCATTCTTTTTAACATCCACATTAACTATAACTATCCAAAAGACTGCATTACTAAGAACCGAAAATACCCAGCAACATTAATGTCAGTCTCTTTGCTGTGGAGTGAATTTTAATTACAGAATATCCATCTTACATACTGCCTAGAAGTGTTTGTTTAGATCCTGAATTTCCAGTCCTGTCCCAAGTCTTGCCAGAGCATTATGGGGAGCACACAGCCCCAAATTTTCCAGGGGTGCATCCCTTAAAAAATGGAAGCAATAAGCAGATCCCTGCAAAACAGATTTTATTGCAGCAAAACTTCAGCGTTAAATGTGTTTGACTAGCAATAAACTTAAGAAGTCAAGAGATCATAAACCAAAAACCTCCAATTCAATTGGAAGAATATATTCCCTTTAAGCCCTGATTACCATATATAGAGATGTATAAATAAACATGGGTACTGTACCTAATGACCAATCAAAGGAAATTGACATGAATGAAATTAGCATATACAAATACAGCTCTACTGTACATATAAGTTTGATGTATTTATAACTATGTTAGCCATACTAAACACCCATTCCACATTTACCTGACAGTACTTTCATGGCCTTTAGAATTTAGGGAGACCTCTTGGGGATGGTTACCATGACGCTGCCTTTTTTGAAAGAAGCCTGAACTGATACTTCTCAATGCAGACCCTTCAACTAGAAGCAGTTAGAAGCATCTGTCATTTTTCTAGGCATAATTTCTTTTACTAATAGCTAGTAATGGATTAAAATATTTAAAGGCATCACTAGAGACCTGAGTTGTGAAGACTTGGGGATAAAAGAAAGTCATGATTTCTAATTTTTACTCTTTTTGAGACTACCTATCACGTCTTCCCCAACACTTCGCTCCCTCCCCTCAGTTTTAAGTCTGGAGAGGAGAAAGAAGTTGGGCTGTGGGCAGCAGGAAAGAAGGCTCACACTCTCTTCCCTTAATACTGGTGGGGATGTTTATAGGCTTCCCGGGGTCTCCCACACACTAACCACCTTGCTGCAGAAACCAGAGAGGGTCAGTGAAACCCCTGAGAACTGAAGGGCTTCCACATGCAGCTCTCACTAGCCATGGATCACACTTTGTCACAACATGGGGCTGCAGTAAATATGGGGAAATGGTGGAAATTAATAAAAACTTAAAGGTATCCATAAGTCATCATCTGAATTGTTGATTGAAACACCACAAACTCCTTTATCAATCATTTATTTTTAAGAGGCACCAGCACAGAGGAGAAGCAAGTTTGCCACCAATAAAAATGACAACTTTTAAAGAACTGCATCGGCCTCCACCTTGCTGTGGATTTGGCACAATGGCTTTGTTAATCCAGATTATCAGAATTGTTTGTGTCCATAAACTCTACTTTCACTGAATCACTTCACCAGTGTTTCTTCATTCACCTTTGATTCTGCTTACCCATTTACACAATCGAGGTCAAAATACCTGCTTTCTGCCTCCTAGAAAGGCAACCAGTGTTTGTGCTTTAGAGAACTGGAAGCCTTTTGAAATACTCAAATTAAAAATATTTTACAATAAGTGTACCATTTAGTGGAGAAGCAGAGTGGTTTGGGTAATTAACGTGAACTTGAACATTGTTTTTGCTACTTGTGTTTTTATATCCGTGTCACTGAGACTCTTAGACACTGTTAAAATAGTGGCTAGATTCTGTATTAAAAACAAAATATCAAAACCAAGTTAACAAAAATGCTGGCCTTTGGTTTAGGGAATAGATATCATAGCAACTGGTCGTCCCTTCCTCCCAGATCACCTTCCCAGATTTTTACACCCCCTGCCCCAACTCTGCATCCCGATCTGCAACTTGGAACGCTGTGGTCCAGAAGGTTAGCACAATGGTAAAACAATTACTACCCCAACACAGCCGCGGAATCCATTGCACGCTACTTGAATTTAATCAAGTCATTTCAGGCTAAATCAGTGTCTAGAAACTTGTATTTTGCATGCCTTCTGTGAGGATGCGTTATGTCCAACTTCATTTTGCGTCTTGATATTGCCTTAATGCTCATCTTTTTTTTTTTCTCATTGACTTTAGAGACATCCATTGTAGGGACCACTTACTATCTCCAGTTCCCCATTTCATTTTTACTGACAACTCACTTTATAACACTCAGTTTTATATCTTCATTGGAACTAGGAAATGAATTTAATCTCACACTTTCCAAAAATCTATTGCGGTCATGGAGATCAGGGCCAAAGTGGTTGGGGTTTTGTGTGCCTGAAAGTAGCCAGCATTATTCTTCGACCGCTAATGACTCCTCCAGATCAAGTAGCTCATGTCCAGCCTTTGAATTTTCCCAGAAAAGTTCCCAGCCTGCCTGTCAGGGATAATCAGGGATGTCTCCTAATGCCTGTTATGCAGTCTGTCCAGGGCACTTGAATTCCTGCAGCTGCTCCAGTGACAGAAAAATCCAGCAAATGAAAACAACCAAAGCCCAGCAGCCCATGGATGGAAGCTCCCTAATGCCAGACTATTTTGTCACATTTTATCAGCTTTCTATTTTTGACACTCAGTGGAATTTTGGTTCCTTTGTGTTCTTTGTTTGAAATTGTTAAAGACTGGTATGATATCATTGAATCAAGTGTGGGTTTTAAAATAGAGTTGGACCTGGGAGATTGACTGCTCTGACTCCTCATTTTAGATATGAGGCAATGAAAACCCAAGGCAGAAAGCTAGAGAAAAATACGGGGCCAGAAATGCAGGTGCCCCAGAATCTAGCTGTATATACATTTTTTATTGCCTCTCTCAACATGAAACCAGATCTACTAAGTATGGTGACACTTAGAAAATAAAAGAAAGAAAAGAAAGAGGGAAGAAAGACAAATTTAAAAGAAAATAAAAGAAAGAAAAGAAAGAGGGAGGAAAGACAAATTTAAATAAAGTAGAAATGCTTTTTTGTTTAAACTGTGATAAGCGAACTTTTTTTTCTGTAGGAAATCTTAAAAGCACTTTTGTTCATGTGAAAGCAAATTTGAAAAAAGGGGTTTCATGCACAAGGGACGTCTTTGTGGCAATGGAATGGTTCTGTATTTTGATTGTGATGGTGGGTGATAAAATGACATTGAACTATATGCACCTATTGTACCAGTGTCAATTTCCTGGTTTTGATATTCGACTATACTTTTGTAACATGTAAACATTAGACAAAAGGGAAGGAAGGTTATAAAGGACCTTTCTATACTATTTTTGCAACTTCCTGTTTATCTAGAATTATTTCAAAATGAAAAGTTTTGTTTGATAAAAAGCAAATTTGAAATTTGCTGTGATTTTTGTCTAAAAGAGTAGGCATAAGATCTTTTGACAAGTAATAAAATGAGTGAACATAGCTTTACTTTTGAGTATTAGCTACATCATGAAAACATATAAAGAAAGAAAAGTTTTCTCTTTCCCCTTATGCTAGAAATGGCTCCAAAGAATTGAGTAGAACTATTAGGGCCTGACACCCTTGTTAGCTCTTTTTCTATAGACAATTAAAAATCTGTTATATCTATTTCACCAATATCAATTAATGTTTGTAAACTGAGTGGCTATTTTGACATTGTTTTGATATCGTATACTGACATTGTACTTGCTAAAGTGTCTTTTGTAATAAAATGCCTTTAAGATTGTTTCTTATTTGAATCATATATTTTAATTGTAGTTATTGAATCAAAAACACTTCAAGGAAGCAAAGGAGAACACAGCTTTAACAGCCCTGGCGTCTTTGTTGTAGAAAACACAACAGTGGAATTTCAGAGGGGCTCTGAGAGGCAAACCTTTAAGATTCCAGGACCTCTGATGGCTGATTTCATCTTCAAGGTAGGATGATCCTCTTCATAAAATTCATGTACCTGAATCCCAGAACATCTTTATTTTTAAAACAGTAAGTTTGTTTAGCAAGAGGTCATCAATGATTGTTTTTTAATACAGAGCATGTGTCATCGATATTTCCATCTTGGCAGTTCATTCTTAAAGATTGTTCAGCACTCTTAAATTTCTGCTGCTAATCCTGACAGTTAAAAACAAACTTCACTTTTATGGGGGAATGATTGATTCTTTATTTATAATCTCTGGTTGCTTTGTTGGTTTGTTTGTTGATTTAAGAAACAGGGTCTCTCTGTGTTGCTCAGGCTGGTGCAGTGGCTATTCACAGCTGCAATCATAGCCTTGAACTCCCGGGCCCAACTGATCCTTCTGCCTCAACCTCCCAAGCAGCTGTGTTCAGTTTTAGATAGAGTTTGGTGAAAACAGCGAATGGTTAAATGCACCATATCCTAAACCAGTATTGTGCCGCTGCATGTCTTCGCCTTGCAAAGGAGAGCAGAGACAACAGGGGCTCATTCCTTACCCTCCTTTAAGATAGTTATCCTTAAGGGATCTTTATTTCAACCTTCAACCCTTAGAATATGCAGTCTTGCAGTGGGCTGATTGAAGATCAGGATTTGCTTCCCCAGATGTTCTATGACAGACACTTGTCACAAGTGTCTGTATCTTCAGAAGAACTCTTCTTCTCTGGAACCATGAGCCTATGTCCCCTTTCTGGATACTGCTGGGGCATCTTCCCTCATTCAGAGGACATGAAGTATAGTGGCCAATATATTTCCAAGGTGACACAGTTTGAAACTCTTCTGATAAATTTGAAAATGCCAGGAAATGAAAAAGTTCAGTGTGTGGTTTTGTCCTATCCTGTTTCAGAAACCTGTTCCAAAATGTAAATGGAAGCTAGAAAATAGCCCCAATTACCAGTTATATTTTTCTATATGAAAAAAAACCCATTAACTTTAAAAAGCTGTCTATGTTCTATATATTAATTTGTCATGGAATGTTTCACTGAGACATCAGTTGTGTCAGCAGAGGAACATGCACGGAGGTAGATGAGAGTTGCTAACCCATCCCAATCCCTGAGATATAAATTCAGCCTGCAATGGGACCGGCCAAGTATTGGCCTGCACACTGTATTGTTTTGTTTCTGAAGCTTTGGATTTTGAATAATCAACACTTAAAAATCGAGAGATTTTTACATCCAAAGATCAGGTCTTTTGTTTTTTGTTTTTTGGTTTCCCCCCCGCCCCCGCATCTCTGTAAAAATGGGAAGAGCTGACAACTAGCTTGCATTTTACAATAGCAATAATTGACTGTAACTGGGGAACAGCTGCCTTCCAGTCTCCGGTCTGCAGTGGTCCACACCACTGCGTATTGTGTCCCTAACACTAAAGGCATAAGTGGTTGGTTGCCATTCATCCTGATCTGGCATTTATATCATCTGCCTAGCCTCCACAGACATTTATGTTTCTGACTTCTGTGTCATATTCTTAAAGCATTGACCCAATATTCTTCTTAGACAGTCATATTGTGAAAGGTTTTGGGGAAGCCATAATTACCTTTTTTTTTTTTTTTTTTTGAGATGGAGTCTTGCTCTGTCGCCCAGGCTGGAGTGCAGTGGCCGGATCTCAGCTCACTGCAAGCTCCGCCTCCCAGGTTCACGCCATTCTCCTGCCTCAGCCTCCCGAGTAGCTGAGACTACAGGCGCCCGCCACCTCGCCCGGCTAATTTTTTGCATTTTTAGTAGAGAGGGGGTTTCACCGTGTTAGCCAGGATGGTCTTGATCTCCTGACCTCGTGATCCGCCCGCCTTGGCCTCCCAAAGTGCTGGGATTACACGCGTGAGCCACCGCGCCCGGCATTTTATTCTCTTTTAAGTACTACTCAGAGAATCTGTATTCTTCTTAAGTCAACTTGGAGGTCCCTGACTGAATAGGAGACAGTAATACAATGATGAAATGAGGAAAGCACCCACAAAGATTAGTATTTCGAGATATTGTTTGGTTACAGTATCAGCATCAGTAGATCTTAACAGTATACTGTTTATTGATACCATTTATAAAAACACACACATAAACTGCATATTTCTATGTGTTTGTATGTACTCACACATATATGTATATGTGTGTGTGTGCATATTTTTAAAAATAATGTGGAAGGATACGTTTCAAAATGGAAACACTGAAAACAACAGTGACTATTTTAGAGGGGATAACATTTTGTAGTATCTAATTCTTAAAATAATGTTTAAAAGGAAGAATGTGACTGGGCGGGCGTGGTGGCTCATGCCTGTAATCCCAGCCCTTAGGGAGGCAAAAGTGGGTGAATCACTTGAGGTCAGGAGTTCGAGACCAGCCTGTCCAACATGATGAAACCCTGTCTCTATTAAAAATACAAAAATAGCTGGGCAATGTGACGCACACCTGTAATCCCAGCTACTCAGGGGGCTGAGGCAGGAGAATTACTTGAACCCAGGAGGCAGAGGTCACAGTGAGCCAAGATCGCACCACTGCATTCCAGCCTGGGCAACACAGCAAGATTCCATCTCAATAATAATAATAATAATAATAATAATAAGCAAATGGAAGAATGAATTCACATACTATGTGCATAATTAAAAATTACACCTTCTTGCCCAAATTATCTACTCATCTCTTAATAGAGTAAATTTTGAAAAGTGTGTGTGTGTGTGTGTGTGTGTGTGAGAGAGAGAGAGAGAGAGATGGCACGATCTTGGCTCACTGCAACCTCCTCCTGAGTAGCTGGGATTACAGGCATGCACCACCACACCTGGCTAAATTTTTTTTTTTTGTATTTTTAGTAGGGATGGGGTTTCTCCATGTTGTTCAGACTGGTCTCAAACTCCTGATCTCAAATGATCCACCCACCTTGGTCTTACAAAGAGCTGGGATTACAGACATGAGCCACCGCGCCTGGCCAATAGAGTACATTTTAACAGCACATTCAGGGTACAGTGTCTGCATTCATATTCAGTCCTCTATGTTCCTTTCTCTAAGTTCTGGCTCTCTCAGATTTAATAAACAGTTCTGGACTTTGACTTCAACTCCTGGAAAGCTTTTGATCTCTCTAGACTGAAAAGGTGTTTTGAAAAATACATTTATCAAAGAGGGTGTTACAGACAACTGTCTGACTCATGCATAAATAGAACCTCATTTTCATACCCACAGCAATTGTCTCTCATGGATGTGTTGTACTTAGTAGGGGAGAATGTGGCAAAATTGGAGACACTTATGTTGAAGTAAGAGTGGCTCTGATGTTGTTTTTTTCCTGACTTGGGAGCTTGTCCAAATAATGTGGGTTTCTGGGAAGTATCCTTTTCCATCATTTCCTTTTTTTTGGTTCCAAACATTGTAGTATTTCCCAGCCTGTATTGTTGCTAAGATAAGGAACTCTGCTTCCATTCATCTCTTCCTGGCCCATCACACAATCAAGTCACGGCTGTACTTTGAGTGGGAGGTTAAAAGTGCCTGTGAGGTCACTGATGACAGTCAGACCTGTGTCCCTGTGTTTCATTGTATCTCTTTCCATTCCAGTCAACCAACAAAAGCTAGTCTATAACTGGAAGACCTGGCTTCAACCTGAGAGAGGATGAGGCAGTGAATACCAGTCCTGCATAATCAGTGCTAATTTAGCACAGCCGTGGGTGTGCTGAGCTAGGTTGAGGCACACACTTTGCTACAGTTCATGTAGTAGACCTTATTTCATGGGCTTTTGGTAACTATACTGTTGAACACTACTGTATTCTTACATAAAGAGTAAAATATGTAGACATCAATGGGATGTTAGGTTGTCTTACAGGTATTGTTGCTCAGATTTTGCAGCTTAGCATCTCACTGTACCAATGAGAAAAAAAAATTTCTTTTTTCTACTCTTTAAGAAGCTATATTTTCATGGTTGGACCATTCTTGAAAATTGCACATTTCCTTCTTCCAGTGGATTTCTCATTATATATGCTTGTTTTCCTGAATAACCTGTTTCCGTTTTTTCTTTTTTTTTATTTGTGTGTGGCTACAGGGCCTCACTATGTTGCCCAGTCTGATCTGGAATTCGTGGCCTCCAGCAATCCTCCTGCCTCAGCCTCCCAAATTGCTGGGATTACAGGTGTGAGCCACCGTGCCCAGCCCTCAATGACCTGCTTTTCATGGATGACCCTTGTCATAGCACTAAGGGATATTTTGCATTAGGGCCCTGCTTCCTCAATATGTGCAGGTTGCCCCCAGGTAGCAGTAGTGAGTCTTGGCTAAGTACAGTAGTTGATGCCATGTGCTTCATAGATTGACCGCAAGATATACACTATTAATTCAGTGAGAATTTACTGAATATTTGCATCTATGAGTAGACGTTTGTGAATATCAATTTTAAGTATATTCCCATGAGGATATCTGAAAAAACAAAATTAAATGACTTTGATAAAGACATGTCTTTCCATGGTTAATTTTTAACTACTTTTGGTAGATTTTCTCATCTTTTAAAAAACATATATATCTTCAGGGAGAAAAAAAAAGTTTCTCTTCTTGGGCTCTGAAATCTTCCTTTTTCATCTAGTTGTCTTCTTAGGGATTCATTTTTTTTCCACTCTGATATTTTGTGTTTCTTCAGGAAAATGTTTTCTGATTGCTTTTCTACTAGTCCTCAGTTGTACAATCTCCATCTTCAGTTTCCTCAGCTCTAGATATCTTTTATGTTGTCAACCCATGAGCTTCTTCTCTTTCTGGGGAGTTATGATAGCATATTTAACTTATCCGGGCACAAGAGGATTTGAAACTGCCTGTCTTGGTTCTCTGAAAGAACATGTTGGAGGCTTTCAATGCAGTGCAGATAGTGGCTACGTTTATACGTTCACAGGTGTTTCAAAACTCAGCAAGACACAGTTTTAGAGTCAGTGCCTATATTAGTTTCACAAGACTGTTGTTACTGAGTACTCCACAACTGAGTGGCCTAAACAACCGAATTTATTGTCCCACAGTTCTGAAGTCT